TTTAGGATTGATATGGCAAAAAACACGCAGTACACACACAGTGCACCAAAGAATATAACTTATAGGAATTATCAAGTATTATTACTCTATTTAAATAAATTTACCGTAATTTCGTTAGATTTATCATTTTCCATATAATATCTTAGTTCAACATAGATATTGCGAGATATTGACAACCCAATGACAGACGAGCTCCTTGAAGCATTGTTGGAATCCACAATCATTTGAATCGATGTCGGCATGAGATAAATTCGGAGCATACCACAAATTCGGATCTTAGGCTCCAACACGTAGAAAAATGATGGGATTAGAATGGTCCATCTTTACTTTTGTTTTATTTTTAATTTAAATGATGAACTAACAAAAATAACATAAAATAAAGTAAATTACTAATTGCAAAATAAACAAAAGTAAGATAAAGACCAAGAAAGAATTATATCTAAAAATGATTGGATTGTAATGGTCAATCTATACTTTTATTTATTTGATAAGCACTTTATTTCATATTAGAGCATCTACAATGGAATTCTTCTCATGTGTCCAGTCTCATGTAGCAATGCCACATAAGAAAATAAATTTATAAAAAATATATATAAAACACATTCCTGCATAAGAACGTTGGAAGGATGGTGGAAGTTCCATATTATCTCTTCTACATAGAAGAGTGAGAACAAATATATATATTTATAATATATTTTATATATTGTAATTATAATTATATTTTAATTTAATATATAATTAAATATACAAATACTGAATAATATATAAATTATAATTTTTTACTTTTATTTGATAAAATGATTAATTTAAAATTTATAAATAACCACCACTTAATCAATTAACGAAAACAAAAAAACTTAAGAAGAATGAATATTAAGAAAATGAACCTGAAAAACCTGATATGTTCTATAAATCTTTGGTCAAATTACTAACATTTGATCCGAAATCCCACCATTTGAATTGAAAGAACATCAAATCAAGAACACTCCCTAAGATATTTAGTTTGATCCGATAGTTAACGAAATGAGAATCTCTATTTTTCCGAACTTGCACTGTCTTTGACGAAAATCTCTTTCTCCCTTTTATTGTGGACGGTTTTTGTTTGATTATTTGGCTTAATCTCTCGAATTGTGATAACCACAATCCTAATACTTTATTAAGATTGACTTTCTATAATTTAAGATTATTCTTCTGGGAATTTGAAAATAATTTTGTCAAATATATATATATATATGGATGATTTGATATGATATATTTAGCCTAAAAAAAATAGTCCAGTCCATTAATATTGATATATACAGGGACTCGCATAAGATTCTAACCAATAAAAAATTTAAAAAATAAAAAATTTAAATTACAATAAAATTAGTATTGTGCAGGATGGACTATACACCTTTCAAACATATATTAATATAAAATATGATATGTTTATTATAATTATATATACAAGTTTGGTACGGACTGCCACTTAAAATACCCACTCTACCCTCACTTCTTTCAATTCCCTCTCCAGCAAACCTCTAGCATATTCATTTCTTTTCATCCCATTGTTCATTTGCTCCATTCGGTCCTCTTCTCCCCTTCATCGCCATCACAAGCTCAACAATTTCTTTTATTCTTTCACAATGCACAATGAGTTAACTTATCTCAAATCAAAGAGTGATCATGAACAAATATAGTACACCCAAAACTACGAAGCGATAAATGATACAGAGGATCATGAGGGAATAGTATCTGATGAGGAATTTTATTTTGTAGAACTGAAGACGGCATATGGTTTATAAGATAGTATACAGTAAAAACAACATCAGCCCAAAACTTGAATGAAACATTATGATGAACAAGCAAAGTAAGAGTTGTTTCAATGAGGTGACGATTCTTGCATTCAACAAGCCCATTATGTTGAAAAGTATAAGCACATGAGGATTAGTGTAAAATACCACATGTTGACAGAAAATGAGTCATAGGAGTAGAAAAATATTCAGTGGTGTTATCAGTTTGAAGTATTTTAATAGACATACAAAAATTACTTTTAATTTCAGCATAAAATATTTTAAAGATGGAAAATAGTTCAAAGCGAGCTTTCATAAAGTAAAGTCAAATACATTGTGAAAATTCATCAACAAAAGTAAAAAAATATTGATAACCAAACATAGAAGTAGTTTGACATAGATCCTATAAATCAAAATGAACTAAAGCAAAGAGCATTAAGACCAAATTATTAACCTGCCGGGGAAACAAAATACGAGTTTGTTTTCCTAGCTGACACGACTCACAAGATAGAGATGATCAACTAGAAAGGCTTGGAATAAGCCGACACAACTTAGATATATTCGAATGACCTAATCGTTGGTGTAAAAGTGAAGGAGAAGTGACTATGAAACATGCTATAGGGACCGAAAGTGGTAAAGTATCAAAATGATATAGTCAACGTAACTCAAGTCATTTTCTAATCGTCTTTCACATGCTGCGGTCCTAGATAGAAAAAAGAATCAGATTCAAAAGTCATTGAGCAATTCAAAGTTTTGGTTAATTAACTAACCAAGACAAAATTAAATGGACAATGGGGAACAAAAAAGACGAAAAATAAGGGTACACGAAAAAAAATAAAAAATCTAAGCATGAACAAGAGCCTTAACATAGACTTTTGAACCATTAGCTAAAGTGATGTGAGGAACCTGAATCAAGGACCATGATCCAAGAGATGTACCAGTGTGAGCAACAAATGCAAGGGCAGATGATTGCTTCGAATCTTAGTATGCAATATATTCCTAATGGTGTGAACCAAACAAAGTAATAGAATTACTTGACGAATGAGGAGTTTCAACCTTGCAACAATAGCCCGAGGTGGCCGCCCATGTAATTTAAAACACTTGTCATAAGTATGGCCCTACCTATTGCAATAAGTACATCTCAAACGAGATGTATTTTGACTGCGAGAATTCCCACGAGAGCTAAAGTCACCATGCAGAGTGGAGGAAGCCGAAGCAAGTAGAGCGGACTTTTCTCCATAATCAATAATTGGATGAGCAACTGATGAAATACGTAATAGCCGAGAATAAACATCATCAAGGGTCGGAACCGTCGAACTCAAAAATAGGTTGATCACGAAGCGGGTTCAATTCAAGACCAAGACTAACAAAGACAAACACACAGAAAAAAAATTTATATATATTCTCGCTGAACAAGCTCCTCGGCAGCTGTTTTCCAGAAGGGCAAAACATAATTGAGTTTAGCCTTTATGGACAAAAATTTGCCTAAATACTCTGGAACTATCAATCCATGTCGACGAAAATTGACTAAATTGGAAACTACATTGTATAGTTATTGAATGTCATTTGGTATATAAGGTCCTCGAATGTGTCTAAAGTTCATAAAAATTAGTAAACTTAGTAAAAAATTTAAAATAAAATGCGAACTTGGATTAATAGACTGCCAAAGTAAACTGTATAACATGACATATGCCTTAAGCCAAGTCGATTTGTCTGCCTCAGAAATCTAATTGGAAAGAATAATGAGGTGGTTGGCCAAACCTTGACCCATACATTACATTTGAACAGCCTTGGACCAAGAACTATAATAAGGACCGCCAACTAATCGTTCGGAAGCAATGGCAGGAGTGGGAGAAAGAACATACCGGTAAAAGAACTAGATATGATTGGAATAACATTTGAAGTGAAGAAAACACTATCAATTCAAATAATTAGCAAATGGGAGAAGAGAAGACCCGTACCTGATCGCGAGAGGAAAATGATGAATTGTGGGAGAATTAGATCCTAGACTGAACATGAAAGGATTTGAATGAGTCTGACTCTATTTGGGTCTATTTAATTTCAACCGGCTCCGGTCGGATTTGGGTCGAACTGAAATAAAACTCTATAGCTTTTGTTGTAAATTTGAATTTATATTGGGATATGAATATGTAAGATTTGATTTATTATTTACGTTATTTTTATATTTGATTTTAGAGAAAATTTATTATAATTCACTTGTCATTTAAAAAGTTTACACTATATTTTCTTTTGGTTTAAAAGTTGCATGAATCTCTTCGTATTTTGAAAATTGTTGTACAATATTTTTTAAAAATTGCATAAAATCCTTTCATATTTTTGAAAAATATTGCGCATAATTCCTACAAAGGTGATTTTATACAATGTTTTAAAAACATAAAAAAAACGCATACAATTTTTTAAATCACGAGAAATAATAGTATATATTTTCTAAACTACAAATTGTTATAATTAAGTATATTTGCCTTGAAAATTTTGAAATGAAATTACATTCAATTTTTATAACGTTAAAAATATACTCCCTCCGTCTTACACAATTTGTCTATTTTTTCTATTTTTTCTCATCCCATATAATCTGTCATTTTTTTTTTTAAAAAAAATATAATTATACACTTTAATCTCATTTTAAATATTTTTTTATTTTAAGTAAATTATTTAGTCATCTTAATCTTAATATATAATTATTTTTTTTAAATTATAATTATTTTAATAATAAATTTCTTAATTATTTACTAATTACACAATATTATGTCCAGTTAAAGGACAAATTAACTGAAATGAAAGGAATATAATATAATATAAATAATTATAAATTAAAATAACTAAGTCTAATAAAAAAATTATAAATTATAAATTTTAAAATATAATTAAATTTTATAATAATTTTAAAAAAAATAATATAATATGTATAAAAGAAGAAAAAAAAAAAAAAAAAAAAAAAGTGAGATTATAAATGAAGAGGAGGAGTAATATAAGAATACATGTCAACGTGGATTTTGTGCCTGCAGCATGATACAATTTTCATTTTCAATCCAATTAAAGTTTTGCACGTCAGCCACCAAGCCGCATGCGTACAGTAGCGACAATTACACGTGGCATGAATGGTCAAACTCTCCAGACAATTCGACCGTTCGAAACCGCGGGAATGCTCTGGAATTCTGTGGAAAACCATCGAACCATCGCATCTCATACTTAAGTCTCCAGGCTGCGCCTCAGTTTCGTAATCTCAGGAAAACATATCGAAGAAAAATCTCTCTATTCAGAGAAAAGCGCTTGCGAAGCTCGCGAATTTCTTACTTGGGTTAGCGAAACGTGTGTTTGCTCTGGAAACGAAGTTATTTGGACTGCGGTTCGTGCGGAAGGACATTTCTGGTTTTTAATTGTAAGCGGTGTTTCTTTTCTGTGCGAATCTCTTTTGATTTCGTGTTTGCTGTTGATCGTGAGATGATCTGTTTATCATTTGGATTCGATGTTGCAGTACCGTTATTTGGACTTCGTATCGTATTTTGTAGATTGTGAATGTTCCTATTCTCGTGCTTTTATCTACAGAATCTGGTTTGGATGTGTTTGGTTAGCATGATTTGAATTTTCTCGATACCTAATTGCGTATTTGGGATAGATTATACCTAATATTGTTTTCGTACGCACTTACTTCATTGGAATTGGCCACTGCGTTTATTGTGTTCTGATTTTTCGTCTAAGCCTTGATAAGGATCGATCAATGATTAATTGGAATGCGTAATTCGTTCAGCAAGCTTGATTAGACTATGATTTGAAGTTCTTCGTAATCTAGCTTTATATTGCAGATTGGTTCAGAATCATCATGAACATTAACAAATCTCGCTGTGATATCCTAGAATATTTCAGCAAGCTTGATTAGACTGCGATCTACATTTCATCGTCATCTATATGTATTTCTGTAAATTTGGTAGAACTCTCGTAGTGATATCCATGAATATTTCGAACTCCTAGTAGCATTCTTAATTTTTCCTATGCAGGATTTGTTTTTCTCCAATTTTCAGCATAGTCAGTACATTAGGCGACGATCTACACCTTCCAATCTTCTATATCTATCTTTAAGTTCATTCAGAGATGGAATCTGTGTATAAGAACTTGCATCCATATCCCTATCACAAGGATCAGACACCTTATGGTTACAGACCTCACCACTACCCTGGATATGACGGTATTGCACCTCAAATGTACATGAACTCTTCTCGTCGCCCCACTGCTCATGGATATATTCCATGGGGCAGCAACTATGGCTGTGCCTCTCCAGTACCCTACCATGGTTGCTGTAACCATTCCCATTGGCAGCAACATTATCCTTGGAGTTCTCCTTATCCTAACATTCCTTCATATCCTTGTCCGGGAAGCTGCCATCCATATCCGCCGCTGCAGTTCATGCCTCCGGGTTATCCAGTCGAGCCACAGTATGAATATGAAAAGAACATCCCAGGCATTCACCATTGTTGCGGATGTCCTAACCATCCACTGCACCCGGCAGAGCAGAAAAATGTGAGGATTGAAGAGGCAGAGCCTGATGGAGAAAAGGCGAACCAAGGGGCATCACTGTGGCTTCCACCCGACCGTGGCAGCAATAAATTGGGACCTAATGAGAACCGAAAGCCTGTTGATGCAGAACTGATCTATCCTCTTGATTTGAACAAGTTGTCATCATCCAGGCAGCCAGGGCATGAGGTAAGAACTGATCCTAAACCGGTTGATGATGCTGAAAGACAGCATTTTCCTTATCCAGTAGTTTGGATACCTTACATGCCTGATCAGATGGAGAATAAAGAACACAAGGTGGATAGTCCGGTGGCGAAATCGAAATCACCCTTGCAATTGGAGGGCAAGGATGTTGATCAGATTGCATCTCAGGCAAAGGACATCCCGGTGACGGATGCAGCGAAAAATCGAGACAAGGAGAATCATAAAACTGATAATCCACAAGCCGGCTGCATTTCTCCTCGGGCGAAAGACATCCCTGTGAAGCAAATAGAGCAGCAAGCCGACAGCAGAGTTTCTAAAGGTCAAGAAACAAATTCCTGTGTTAAAATTAGCACTGAAGCTGGTGAGAAGAAACTCGATAATGGAGAAGAGAAATCGACTAAGGATCAGCCAAAATCATCCAAGCTACCTCCTGTTTGCCTGAGAGTTGAGCCTTTGAGAAAAAGCAAGAGTACAAATGGAAGCTCGCGGTCTCCAAGCCCTCCCAGTAAGAAAGACGCGTCAAACAAAACATCGAATGAAGAAACTAAGGCTCCTAACTCATCAATTGATAAAAAGGAAGATGATATCATTCAGAAGCAGGCGAAGGCAGACGTCAACATCACTAAGAACGTTGATCACAAGGGAGATGTTATCGATCAGAAGGAGGCGAATGTAGACGCGGGCATCACTAAGAATGTTGAGGTTGCTCAGGAAAAAATTCAACAAGGAGAGAGTGGTAATACGATCGATGAAATACCTGTCAGTGCCCTGCAAGAAGTTTCGAAAGGCAATTCGGATGATAATTCCAAAGAATCGCAAGAAGTTGCTAAAAGTAAGTTGGAAAACAATCCCAATGTGGAGATCCAAACTTCTTGCGAACCGGTTGATGAACTCGTAAATGATCAATCAGGAAATGCAAAATTCGCCGAAGAACAGCCTGACTTGTCCAGTAAAAGAAAACTGTCGGAGGATGAGGCTGCAGTCATACTCCAGGCAGCCTATCGTGGCTTCGAGGTTCGAAGGTGGGATCCAATAAAGAAGCTGAAGCAAATCGCAGAAGTGCAAAACCAGATCCCCGAAGTTGAGCATCATATAAAATCAATGGAGTCGTCGTCTTCTGGCACCGAAAGCAAGAGCAAGCAGAGAAGCATTATTGGAGAAACTATAATGAACCTTCTGCTAAAACTCGACACAATTCAGGTACTTGGGCTTGTTGAAACTACGACACTCATAAATCTTTAAAGAAGTGAAACTCTTGTTTAATCTTGTCTTTTCTCCTTCCAAATTATAGGGCCTTCATCCTAGCATCCGCGACATTCGGAAATCTGTTGTAAGAGAGCTCGTCAATCTTCAGGAGCAGCTCGACATGAAAGGAGCCGATGCATCTGAATCTGCGCCTGCAAATGATCATGAAAGTCTTGCAAAACCATCCAAGACAAATCCTCCAGAGGATGTATTAGCCGATGAAGACAACAACATCAACAAGTATGCGCATAATCCGGAAACTTCAGAGGCGACTTTAACGGTGTCAGAATCTTTCGATGAAGCTCAGAAGAAGAATGAAACAGCACATATTATTAATGATGCAGATTGTCAATCGAAGATTGCGCCGACTCTAGAATCGGAAAATTTGGGAAGCAGCGCGGCTGAAGAGTCGGCATTGAGCTCGAATAACGGAACTCCGACCTCCTCCCCTGCAGCAAATCAAATTCAGACTAACAGAGTTTCCGACATAGATGAACATGGCGAAGAAGTAGCTGGGGAATATCAAGAAGGGGAGGGGAGGGAGAAGGAGAATCGGAAACTGATGGAGGAAAACGAAAGGCTGCGGGAGATGGTGGCGGCGGCGATGAAGTCCGGGGAGGAGCAGGCGGCGGCGATGGCGGCGCTGAGGGGGAGAGTGAAGGAGTTGGAGAAGAGAGCGTGGAAGAAAAAGAAAGGGATGAAGATGAAGATGAGACGGCAGGGAACAATGAAGAAGAAGGCATACGAATTGGTGGATGACATTAAACAGGTCAGATCCTGATCATCATATTCAATCTATAATATGTGTATCGTATTTATCATGCACCCGCTGTGCTACGGGAAAAATAAATCATATCCCCTATTTTTATATATATATAGACTGTGTGTATAGGACAGCGGGATAGGATTCTATCGGGACAGACGAGATGGTGTGCATATAATACTACTATATATACTAGGTAAATGTGGATATGGTGTGCTGTGTTTTCAATAAATGACTGAAATGTCAACGTCGTCATGTCTTCCGAACAGATCCCACTGCTAAATAAGACCATGTTTTTATTACATTATGGTACATTCAAACATTGTTTAAGAAAAATACGAAAAAACACTTATTTTCGTATGCTGTCTTTTTATATTAGATTAGTCTCACACTTTAACAAAATAAGTTCTCGCTGGACTTATTGACCTGAAATGTTGGAGAATTCAAATCGGATTCTCCGTCCCATTAATACATTTTCTCTCATATTCATAGACATATAATGTATATATATATATTCATAAGTATACAAATGTTTAAGATGATTTATATTCATTTTTTAGTTATGTATTAATCCAATAAAACGTTTAGTTGTAATCCTAAAATGGTTTTACTTAAGTGTTCATTCATGTTACACCATTTTTTCAAAAATATATTATAGTTCTATTTGTTTACAATTTTTCAAACTTAATATTCATTAATTTTATTAATTTCCAAAAATATATTATTATTATTATTATTATTTTATAACGTTGGAATCCACAGTCGCTACTCGACGAGTGCGCTCTGGGTAAACCATCGATCGAACCTAATAGCATGCAAATTAAGCCCTACAAACCAAGTCACACTAGACGAATCATGTGTGTTTGACTGTTTAAACTCATACCTTGAAAGGTAAAAGTTTGGCTGAATTTTACAACTCAATATTGGGTATGTGGTTAAGAGGTTTATATTTTTTTTCATGTCTCACAACCTTTAGCATATTTGATGCAATATTAAATATATTCCGTCAATAATAACTATATTAATTTAAATAAAAATAAATATTTAAATTAATAGATATTTATATTTATCTTTATTTTTTTAAAAAAAGAAATAGTATTTCATTTTTTTTCTAAACAAAATTAAGTATGTGTTCAGTTGTTTGAAATTAATATAAAATAATATGTGTTTTGAATTTTTATTTAAATAGTATTTTAATATGATAATTTGTGAGAAAAAATAATTTATTTTTACTACGAATCGTGTAGAATGAATAGTAGTATTTTTTTATTTAAAGTAAAAAATAAACATGCCATAAGATTTTGGGTGTGTGTTTACTTTATATTTTTATTTTTAGATGAATTTATTTTTTATATTAGATATGAGAGAAATCGACTATTGTTGACACAATTTATCTCGTATCTAATATTATAAAAAATAATATTTTTTATGCGAAATTATTGACTATTGTTGACACGGTTTCTCTTGTATCCAATATAAAGAATAATATTCTATGCGAAATTATTGACTATTATTAGATGAAGAAAATATATATATGTATATATTATATTTTTTTTTATAATATTTATAGGGAATCGTACAACTAAAAATAAATTGAGTGACAAATCTTTTATGTACATGCTTTTGATGAAGTATTTTAGGTTCTATTTGCTTACAAGTTTTCATCTGTATTTTCCTATTAATAAAAAAGTTCTCAAAAATATCAAATATTAAATTTATTTTTTTAAAAGTTTTATATTATATTAAAAATTAATTTTAAATTTAAAATTTTATATCAATATATATTTATATCATATTCTTCGTCCTTATTCCAAATGAGTTATTTAATATTTGTCATCCGTTTCAAAACAATAGTCTCATTTTTTATTCTTGGTAACTAGCTTTCTATATTTTGACAAAAGTATCTCCATATTTTCATAATAATTACATAAAGTAAAGACATTTTGGTCTTTTAGAAACAATTTTACGTTCACTATCAATATAATACTATTATTCATTAATTCTAGTATCCATCTCAAATATCCATATTGTTTTGGAATAAAGGAAATAATATTTTATTGGTCAGTGGAGATGTGTAAGAAGTTTTTACATTTTTGTCTATAATTGTACGTTAGCAACTTATGTAAAAATTAAAGATATTTTTGTATTAATGTATTATTACTTTTACCAAAAATCAAAAAAATATATTTTAGAATGAAACTGATGAAAATAATAAAAAAAATATTGAAATTGAGATGAAAAAAGTATTAAATAATAATTTAAATTATAAGTTCTATTATTTAAAACTCACAAGCCAATCAGAACCCCCAAACAAACTGAGTAAAATTTTTAAAAATAGTTTTATTTTTATTTTTTTTGTTATGATTTTTAATTGAAATATATTCCTCCTTACGGCCAAATTATATCACTATATTTTCTTTATTATATATGTTAAATTTATGTCGCAATTGATTTATTGTAAACCATTTTATTTAATTACAATTTTATTACTCTTTAATAAATTTTTTATAATATTTTATTTTATTTTTTTATCTATTCCAATTTGATATTAAAATATTACTCCCCCCGTCTCAAACACCCGCAATATATATATTTTTTTCAAACTCGCTGCAACATTCCAAATTTAAAAAATAATTAATAATATTTATATACATATAATTATTATTTACTTTATCTCATCACATCACTTAAATAAAAAAAACGAATAATTATTTCTCTCTCCAATCACATCAGTAATATTTAAATTATTTTAAATTCTTGTATCAAACACAAATATTGTACAATATTTGAGACGGATGAAGTATTATTTTATAATATTTGTCTTTAATAAAAATTACATCATTTTAGCAAGAAGAGTAGGTAATACTTTATGAAAATATATATATATTTTTTATAATAATAAATTGTTCATAGAAAAATCAAAGTAAAAAAAAAAATATGATTTACAATATAAAAAATAAATATTTAATATAAAATTTTTAAAATATATTGATGGCAAAAAAATTAAGAGATATTCGTAAACTAGGCAAGCCTATGTTGAATTAAATTGGTACTAATAGTTAAAGTATATATATTAGGCCGGCAGCATGGACAACATTAGCTTACCTCAATGCCAAGGGCAAGCAAGGGAAGAAGAAGTCGATCCTCGTCCGTTCGGTCCAGGTCCAAATCCATATCCATTTCCAAATCCAAATCCAACGCCTTTCTTATAATATCCCTCAATTTTAGCGTATATATATATACACACGCACCGTCGGACCCTTTTCAAAAACTCACTCTTCCATCCCTCAAATCCAACCGGAGGAGTTGGGATTGAATCGCCCTCCCATCCACGGCGGCGGCGGCGGCGGCGGCTTGCTTGCGGGAAGCTTCTTCTGCCGAACGGACCCATACAATATACATATATATATTATTAGTTATGAGGGATTCGGGTCTGGATCTGTTCGACCCGAGGACCATCGTCATGGATTCCGACTACAGCTCCTCCCCCGGCGGCAGCGGCAGCCGCGACCCGGACTTCGGATTCGCCTTCAACGACAGCAATTTCTCCGACCGGGTGCTCCGGATCGAGATCGTTCCGGATCCTACCGAGGCCGCGCCCGAGGCCGAGGGTTGCCGAACCCTCGCCGACTGGGCCGCGCACAAGAGTAAACGACGTCGTGGGGATATTGCAAAGAAGGAGACCGGTGAGTTAGTCGAGCTTTAAGTCAACTCTCTTTTCCATTTTTTTGCAATCGATGCTTTGTTGAATTCGTCGTTGCTGCCGATTGAATCGTCCTTGAATTCCCAGGATTTGAATATTGATTTAGAAATTATGCTTTGAATTCAATTTCTAAACAATTTAGATGAACGTTTTTACATGTATTTGCATTCTCCCTAAAGCTGCAGTAGTTCTAGGGTTGCTGAGAATAGCTAGAAAATTATGTTTGTTAATCATCTGACCTCAATTTTGAGTCCTATGGATTTAAGATTGGGATAATTTGAAGTAATTTCTTTGAGAATAAGCTTGAAGTGAAGCATTACTCTGAGAATTTATGGACTTTTCTGTTATGGTAATTGAATGTTACGAAATGTGAGGATTCCCTTTTTATTGTGCTTCATTAATGATTTTTCGACGAAGATATCTTGTTTGCATTGATGTGCTTTGTTGCTGCCATGTATTTTTGTTCTGTATTTAGTTTCCACGAGTCGTTCTTACTGCTGCCTTTTCGAAATATCTTTGACTCAAAACTCATTCTTATGCTGGTATGGGTTGTGCTCATCTTAATCAGACATGTACCACTCGTTTGCAGCTTTGGATATCAACAATTGCCCTGAAGAGCAGATCTTAGATTGTCAGCCAGATGCTGAAGACGGTCCAGGTGATGAGAATCTTGATGAGGAAGAAATTCCAATGATAGAAGATTCACCATCAGGTAAAAGAGGATTTACAATTTCATCTAAATTTTCCTTCATAGTCGATCAATTAGGCATTGTTTGCAAAACCTTTTCGCCACGTGTCTCATTTTCCTTTTCGTTGATATAAATACATCTATTTTTTATGAAGTGATAGAAGCAAAAGCAAAATTTTAGTAACTTTGTTTTAGGGTTTGCGGGTTTGCTTTTCCTAAAAGATAACTATTGTTCTTAAGATATTAGTTTATTATACTTCGTTAATGATTTATGCGCTGATTGTATATGCTCTGAAACTGATGCTTGTATTTTGTCGCCCTCAGGAGATGAAGCTGCAAATAGTGATGATTCCAATAGTTCTGAAGATGGTTTGAGAGTTCTAAGAGTGAAAACATTACATATTAGCTCTCCCATATTAGCAGCAAAGAGTCCCTTTTTCTACAAGGTATCAGGAGCGCCCTGTTTAGACAATGCGATGATTTTTTAAGATTAGCACGTAACATTTTTGTTGTTCCTATTCGTGCAGTTATTCTCAAATGGAATGATGGAATCCGAACAGAGACATGTAACCCTGAGAATCACTGTCTCCGGTATGATGAACTTCTGCAATTTTGCTTGATAGCATGTTTTGTTTCATATTAGCGAACATTACAATTTTATTTGGATGGTGTAGTTTGAGTAATTTACGCCTCTTTTAATGTAACAGAGGAAGCTGCATTTATGGAGCTCCTGAATTTCATGTATAGCAATACATTAAGCATCAATACACCTCCCGCCTTGCTCGATGTGCTTATGGCTGCTGACAAGTTTGAGGTTGCTTCATGCATGAGACATTGCAGCCGTTTGTTGAGGAACTTGCCCATGACTCCTGAGTCGGCGCTACTCTATCTTGATCTTCCTTCGAGTGTTCTAATGGCTGAGGCCGTTCAACCTTTGACTGATGCAGCAAAGCTATTCTTAGCCACTCGGTATAAAGATATATCAAAGTACGTCCTCTCCCTCTTTATTTCGAGGATGCCCTTTTATGAATCCCTATTTTCTTTGTTTATATAGCCCTAACTTGCTTAGGGAAATAAATCTTTTAGCCCATTTTGGACATGGAGATGTTTTAATATGTTTTTATAAATTTGTAACAGGTTTCAAGATGAGGTAATGAACTTGCCTCTAGCTGGGATCGAGGCAATTTTGTCGAGCGACGAACTTCAAGTGGCCTCAGAGGACGCAGTTTATGACTTTGCCCTGAAGTGGACTCGGACTCATTACCAGAATCCAGAGTATCGTCGGGACATTCTATGCTCTCGCCTAGGTCGACATATCCGTTTCCCTTACATGACTTCCCGGAAGCTTAAGAAAGTACTCACCTGCAGTGACTTGGATCACGAGTTCGCTACTAAATCTGTCCTCGACGCCCTATTTTTCAAAGCTGAGGCTCCACATCGACAAAGAATTCACGCATTGGAAGAAACAACCTCGTCTAGCCGTCGCTTTGTGGAGCGTGCTTACAAGTACCGCCCTGTTAAGGTTGTTGAATTTGAATTCCCGCGACCACAATGCGTCGTCTACTTAGATCTCAAACGGGATGAATGTAAGAATTTGTTTCCTTCTGGTCGGGTCTATTCTCAAGCATTCCACCTCGGCGGACAAGGCTTCTTCCTCTCGGCGCATTGCAACATGGATCAACAAAGCTCGTTCCATTGTTTCGGGCTTTTCTTAGGAATGCAAGAAAAAGGGTCTGTATCCTTTGCTGTCGACTATGAATTTGCTGCCCGATCAAAGCCCACAGAGGATTACATCAGCAAATACAAGGGCAACTACACTTTTACTGGGGGGAAGGCAGTCGGGTACCGTAACTTGTTCAGCATCCCGTGGACTTCGTTCATGGCTGAGGACAGCCTTTATTTCATCAACGGGATACTCCATCTCCGAGCTGAGCTCACCATCAAGCGCGAAATACCTGAGGTTGAAACCTCATGATCGATCTCTCTCTGGCCCTCGAGCTTGATGGAACTGGTATGTTAATGTCCGTCATTCATAACTTGTCGGTTGTAGCTAATATTTGTTGTTGCGGATCTGGGATTTGTGTCTACTTAATCTTTTTTGCTGTTTTGTTGGGAGCCGAGTTGAATTTACTGATTAACTTCAAATAGGGGATGAATTCCATTCGCACATTTTCTCCATTTGAGTTTCTTGAGATGGTAATGTGGTATATTTCTGTTGTTTGCTGTGTAAATATGGTGTGTTTGTTCGATATCTGTGGCTGCGAATAAACCTCACATGTTCTGATTTAAAGCTAGAGTTTGGCCTTTGGATGAGCTAAGGATTTTTGTTTTTTGTTGAGTTAGTACAAGTGCTTTTGTTGCATTGTTCATCGGCTTTGAATCATCGGATATTGCTTAGATAACTGAAAATATACGTTGTTTGATTCTAGGATTGGAATCGATGTGTCTGTATGCACTTCAAATTACACTATGTTGAAGGGTTATGGTACAACTTTAAAATAGTTTGTCTGCTGAAATCAATTATAGTACGTGATTTGTGGAGTATTGTCATATGATGTCAGTCTAAATATGATTTATATGTCTGTTTGAAAGTTGCAATTTGCAACATGGCCGTGGGCCTGTCTAAGATTAAAGAGAGCTTTAAAATTTTGGACACGATAGTAATTTCATTCTTAAACAGTTTGTCTCGAATAAACACTACTACCTGGGAAGACGTAATGATTTTTTGTAATAATTATGGACTTATAATCCAATTTATGGTTGTATCATTATTTTTACATAAAAAAATAAGTATAAAATTATTTTTATAATATTTTTAATTATTTATTATAATTAAAATATTAATATTTTTAATTTTGCATTAGAAGTTGTTAAAATTGGGCTTAGCCCTGAGCCCACTTTCTTCTTTCCGCGTGGATAATGTCCACATATATATATATATATATGTATTTACCTAGCTGATTTCACCAGCATTCATTCATGATCATTCATTCACTCTGATTCCGTCGCTATTGTGCCTTACTTTCACATACTGTTCTCACCGTGCACGCCATCGACGCCTTCGCCAACATCCATACACATCCTCTCACATATAGAGTACTCTTTAATGGTTACTTGAACCATCTCGCTCCCCCCGCACTTCCCTCGCTCTCTAATCGGTCTCCGTATCGATTATTTCTTCACTCCGCCTTATCTCTTTATCACTAACATTTTCTTTTTAGTTTTTTCTTTCGATCTTCCCTCTTTCACAGATATTTGTCCTGATTTTGTGAGTTCTTGAGTCTCACAACATATAACTAGTGTACAAGGTATTAGGAAAGCACCATTGATGATCTATCCTCTTGAATGATCATTGTTTGGGTTGTATTGTTCTGATTTATAGCCTTTGAGATATTGTCTTGATTTACAGCTTTTTTATCTAGTTTAATAATCACTTGAGGTGATATGTAAGTGTTCCTTTGAGAGCACAATGACTTTCCTAGAGTTTATTCATATGTTGCTTTATGCATTGAATCCTTTGTGATCATGGCGTGTTATGTTAATACTCACCGCCCTCTGCACACCAGAATACTTGTCAATAAATGACACTCGGAGTGTAGGCGTTCCTCACTCCCCACGATATAATTGTTGATTTATTTCATTGCTTTGATTTGCTAACATGGTATCAAAGCAAGGTTAACTACTGTTTTTTTTTTTTTATTTCTGCGGTATTATCCTCTTCTCTTGTTTACTTCTTGTGGTAAGGGAAACAAAACAATAAGTTCTCTTGTGATGTTTAATTGTCTCGATGGGTGAAAACAACAGTTCGACCTCTGGTATGACTAATAATCCTTTTTTAGTTGTTCCTAATTACTATGATCCATTGTATCTTTATCCTTCGGATTCTACAAACACCTCCTTAATCTCATGTGTTCTTACTAGTTGTGAAAATTTTATGATCTGGAGTAGAGCTATGACAATAGCTCTAAAAGGTAAGAATAAACTTAATTTTGTTGAAGGCAATGTCCCTGTGCCTTTAGATCCTGAGTTAGTTGAAAAATGGAGTATGTGTAATGCTGTAATCATGTCATGGTTGTTGAATTTTGTTGATAAGTCGATTTATAGAACTCTTGTGTTTTATGAAACAACCTCTGAGATGTGGAAGGATATCAAGAGTACATACTAATGGAGCAAGTGTATATGGAGTTTTAAAGGAAATAGCTAATTGTAGACAAGGAAATGATAGTGTAAACACATACTATACTAATATGAAACAGTTGTGGGACCATGCAACGTCTATTAAGATTATAGATCACTGTGTTTGTAGTGCCAAAGCTTATTCGGATAGATATAAGGAAACTCAACATTTAGTTCAGTTTCTATGTGTCTAAATGATAATTTTTTTGTGGTTCGCAGTACAATATTTGCTATGAGTCCACCTCCTTCCGTTTAGAAAGCATATAACCTAGTAAGTCAAGAGGAATCTCACAAGAAACTCTGCAGTGATGCTGCCTCTTCTAAGAGCAGTGGTGCTTTTGCTATGAAAAGGTCAATTAAGTCTAATGCAAAAAATCCAAATCTTAAATGTTCACATTGTGGTAGGACAGGTCACCTAGTTGAGAGGTGTTATCACTTGATATGATATCCAGATAAAAAAACAAAATTTTAAGGTTAATAAGCCTACCACTATGTCTGCCAATAATGTCACTGCTGAATATGGTAATAGTGAATCTGTTGTGACCTCCACTAAGATTTCACTAACACCTGATATTTGTGATGAATTGATCAGGCTTTTACATGAGAAGAAAGACACTAGTTCCTCTCGACTCAATATGGCAGGTATGTCATCTACCCAAATTTGCAATGTAGCTGTGTGTAATGGCTGGATTGTTGACTCTGGAGCTACAGATCATATGGTAGCTGATAGAGCCTTACTGTGCTATATTAAATGTGTTGAAAATGGCCCTATTCATGTTACCCTACCTACAAGGAAATTTGCTACTGTTGTTGAACTAGGAAATATGCATTTATGTGATAAGATCATTCTAGAAGATGTTTTAGTTGTTCCTGAGTTTAATCTAAACTTGTTGTATGTTAGTAAACTTACCTCTAAAGGAACTGTTACTGTGAATTTCTTGAAACATGCTTATGTGATTCAAAGTGTTAGGATGGTAGTGTTTTAAGGTCTGCAAAACTTGTAGGGGGTATGTACAGATTTGAAAGTTCTCAATCTGGTTCTGAACTGTACATATGCTCTAATGCTGGAGCATATGAAAATCTTACCCTATGGCACCTGCGATTAGGACACCCTTCCTATGAGGTGTCAAATCTACTTAAGGCAGATATTGGTCTGTCAAGTACTACTGAGTCAATTTGTGATGTTTGCCATTTGTCAAAGGAAACTAGAACTCCATTCCTTCCCAGCACTTAACAAAAGCTCCATTTGAGCTTGTTCATGGTGATGTCTGGGGACTCTATCATGTGGAGACCAGAGATGGTTTCAGATATTTTCTCTCTCTTTGATGATTTTTCTTGCGCCACATAGGTTTTCTTAATAGCAGCTAAATTTGAAGTGTTCATGTGTCTTAAAGAATTTCTTGCTCTAATTAAAAACCAGTTTGATAGAAGTGTCAAGGTTTTTAGATCATACAATGGAACTAAATTTGTAAACTCATATCTCTCTGATCTTTTTAAAAAATCTGGAATAGTGCATCAAACATCCTGTACCTATAGCCCTCAGCAAAATAGTGTTGTTGAGCGTAAACATAGACACATCTTAAATGTTGCTAGAGCTCTTATGTTTTAAAGCTCATGTCATGTCACTCTTTGAGGGGGGTGTGTGCTTACAGTTGTCCATATAATAAATAGATTTCCAACACCTCTTCTTGATAAGAAAAGCCCTTTCTAGGTAATCTATGGGAAAAAACCAGAACTGAACATTATGAAGGTGTTTGGTTGTCTGTGCTATGCTACTAATTTGAATATTTCTGATTTGTTGGATATGTTGAAAATAAGAAAGGTTACAAAGTCCTTGATTTAGAAACATTCTATGTTTTTGTCTCCTATGATGTTGTCTTCCATGAGTCAACATTTCCTTTCCAGTATGTTGTTATAGCAGATAGATCTCTTCCTCCTGCTCGTATGCTTGCCTCTCCATTGGATGCCTATGATGATTTTTTTGAAATTTGTGAAGGTAATCATCTGGTGACACATTTGGATGAGATTCAGAGTTCCTCCTTGAATCAACAACCAGGTGTTACCGATGCTGACAACACAAATAAGTGCAGTGACCCTGATACTGTAACAGAAAAAGATAATTTAAATTTTGAGGCACATCCTGATTGGCGTTAGTCGAGCAGGAGACATTGTTTGCCTTCCTACCTTCATGATTATCAAGTTTCTATAGGAGGTGTTGTTACTAAGTATCCCATTAGTACAGTGTGTCATCCTCTAGCTGATCTATCTAATGACAGCTTGTGCTTACTGGCTAATCTAGATAAGTTAGTTGAACCTCAAAGTGTTAAAGAAGCTATGGATCTTGAGATGAAAACCCTCATTGACAACAAAACCTGGATCCTCTGTAATTTTCCTAAGGATAGAAAACCCATTGGGTGTAAATGGGTGTTTAAAATACAATTCCAATGGAACAGTTGAGAGGTATAAGGCTAAACTTGTTGCAAAAGGTTTTAGTCGAAAAGAAGGATTAGATTTTCACGAGAGATTCTCACCAGTGGTGAAACTGTTAGGTGTGTTCTTTCTGTTGCTATTAGCTTTGGGGTTGGGAAAATTTTCAATTAGATGTGAACAATGCTTTCTTACACGGTGATCTCTATGAAACAGTTTATATGACGCCGCATGAGGGGTATTCAGAAATGATCCAAAACAAACACTGTTTTTTTGCAAAAGTTTTTGTATGGTTTGAAACAAGTCCCCCAGGCACTGGAATAAGAAATTAAAATCTGCAATCATTGAATTTGGCTTCAAACAGTCTCTCCATGATTATTCTTTGTTTGTAAAAGCTTAAGCTGATATGATTATCATTGCTCTAGTTTATGTTGATGATATATAATGTTGAGAAGATTACAGAGTTCAAAAGTTTTTTGAATGGAAAATTTAAAAATAAAAGATTTAGGAGTTTTGAACTATTTTCTAGAAATAGAGGCTTTTAGATGTCATAAAGGAATTGTTTTCTCTCAGCGAAAATATGCCTTTGAATTAATTTCTGAATTCGGGTTGTTGGGGTGTAAACCATCCACTAGAAAATAATAATATATTTGTAACGGAATTTCGTCCATAAAGTTCACGTAGCTAACGTAATTCCATTCCTATTTCCGTCTCTAATGTCATTAGTAACGAAAAAAGTAGATTTAGAGACAATTTTTGTTACAAAAATAATTTTTTTTTTGTAGTGATCGTTACTTCCTATGGAACAACACCTAAAGCTTGATAATGTTGTTAGTGAAGCTGATCCTTTAATATCAAGTGTTGTTGGTTACCAACAATTGGTTGGTAAGTTGATTTACTTAACTCTAACAAGGCCTGATATAGCCTTTAGTATCCAATTCTTAAGTCAATTTATGCATAAACCCAAAGAATCTCATATGGGAGCAGCCTTAAAGGTATTAAGGTACCTAAAAAGGTGTCCTGGGCAAGGACTTCTATTTTCTAAAGATTAAAATCTGACCTTGAAAGTTTACTGTGACTCGAACTGCGCTTCTTGCCCAATATCTAGAAAATCAATCATTGGTTTCTGTGTGTTTCTTGGGAGCTCTTTAATCTCATTTAAAAACAAAAAGCAGTCGACCGTGTCTCGGTCATCTGTTGAAGCTGAATATAGAGCCATGGCCCAGACTTGTGCTGAAGTAACTTGGTTTCTTGGCATACTTCGTGATTTACATATTGATCATGGGCATGTTGTTGAGTTGTATTGTTATAACACTACTGTTATTCAAATTTCTGCTAATCTTGTGTTCCATGAGAGAACTAAACACATTGAGGTAGATTGCCACACGGTAAGGGATTACATTTCCAAAAGCATCATTTCTACACATTTTACTCCCTCATATCAGCAACGTTCTGATATACTCACAAAACGTCTTAACAGTAAGTCACTTTACCGTCTTTGTACTCTTAATAGGTTGTTTGATTTGTTTCAGGTTGCTAATGATAGAAGTAAAAAGAGTATATGACAATAATTGATATATCTTATACTATTATTAAATATATACTTTCAAGATGGATGAATCATGTATATGACAATAATTAATATAGTATAATTAGTAAGTGTAACATCGCACCAATTTTGGGACAAATTTAATTGAAAAGAAAATTAAACAATAAATAATATAACTAAAAAAATTTATATCAACTCAACATTTGAGATCATGTCATCAAATCCATTGTTCTTATATACCTCTTGTAGCAACACTCTACCAGTGACGGAACTAGCCTACGAAAGCAGGGGGCAAAATATATAATTTTTCTAAAAAACATATAATAAATAAATAATAAATTTAAATAAAATAACAATAAAATAAATTTATCTTTAACAAAAGTCCAACATCATAAACCGGAAATATTAAGAGGGGGCAATTTATGTCTTTGATGTCCCATGCTTTGAAATCTTTTCATAATAATCTTGTTTTCAATTTTCACAAAGATTTTCTTCTCAATCTAACATACCAAACAATCTGTCAAAAACTCATCTCCTATTTTGTTGCGCAAATCATTCTTGATAAATTTCATCGTGGAAAATGATCTTTCAACTGTAGCCGTCGTTATGGGTAGAATTTATGCCAACTCAATAAGTGGACACACCAAACTATAAGTTGTGTGTCATTCCGTAGCAACCATTTTTTTTGCCAAATCTCTAATATTATCCAAGCGCGAGAAAAGTAACAAATTTAATGAATATCTTAAGTTGTTCTTCCAATTCATATTTTTCCCTTGAATTGAAATAATCGGGATAAAATTCTGTAAGAAGAAGTAGTCGCTTTTGATCAAAACTTGAAATTGAATCTCTAGGGTTTAAGCATGCTATGCACATAAGCAACTCTGAACTTGACTTAGTAAAGCGATTATTCATCTATTGAATAAGACAATCAACAACCTATCATGATAAAAATTAAATCAATAAAAAATAAATAAATAGATATTTATTAATATCAAATAAAAGGAAAACAAAAATACAGCTCTAGAAAAATATCAACATAGAAATAGTGATAATAGGTCTTTTGATTACCGTCAACTATTTTCTCCCTTTTAATTCGACCTGGCTGGACATCTTCTATATTGGGCACATCAACATTATATTTCAAACAAAATATAGTGACTTTTTCGAGCAACTTCTTCCAACTATAATCATTTCTATATTTATTTAAATCATTCTTCACATTATCATCATAACCAAAACATTCCCAATGTTTTTATTTTTTTTTGTTGAAAAGCCTTTGATAACATATTTGTTTTTACCAATAATTGCATCATTAAATGATCAATGAATACAAAATCAAATGTTACCATCTTCTCAACCAAACTCAAAGTAGTGGATTTCATCAAATATAACTTCAAGCACTTCTTGAAATTGTTGTCAAATGAGAGCCCCATCTGATATCACCCGGTCGAACTATACTTTTTTCTTGATTTTTGCCCTGGTCATAATAGATCGACTTTCATGCTGGAGGGAAAGTACTAATCTCACCAGATTTTATGCCTTCAACAATATTCTCATAATGTCTTTGTGAAAGATCATCATTTCTTTTACATGACGCCCCAACTACATTCACAATCATAGTAAAATAATCAAAGAAACTACCGACTATTCCATTATTCTTTAAAAATGTCACAATCACTAATTGAAGTCGGTGAGCAAAACCATGAATATAATGTGCTTGCTTATTTTCATCCAAGATGTTTTTTTTTTTAAACCATTTATACAACCACTCATATTAGAAGCTCCATTATAACCTTGACCTCGAACCTTAGATAGTGAAAGTACATGTTTTGCAAAAAAAATCATCAACTGCGTTTTTCAATGAATACGCAGAAGTACCGGTAACATGCACTATTTTATTAGGTTTGATATTTTTCTGATACAAATAATTATGTATGTATGATTTTACAGTATGACACACCTATCTACCTCCTCTATGAATTCAGATGAGTTTTGTTTGTATGTCTTGCTAGTAAAAATATTGATTTCATTTACCAAACACAATCCTAATAGAAAATTTTCCCGTTATACAAATTAGAGTTTACGAAATGACTATAACTATTTCAAGTGGAAAGACAGCCATACTGAGTTATCGAAGTTTGTAAACATAGTGAAGGAATTGAATCAATCAAAGAAGAAAGTGAATGAGTTGAAGAAGAAAATGGAGAAGGAAGTGAGCAAATCAAGGAGTATCGAAACGAAAGTAAAGGAATCGGAGAATGAATTAAAGAATTTTAAAAAATCAGAGAGGAAAATGAAGCTCCAGCGAAAATTATTTATATCACTAGTGGTTGTTGGTATTGTTATTGTTTGGATGTTATTCAATGTTATAGAGCTTATGTGGGACTTTGGACTAGTGTTTGTGAAAATATTGTATTGTATTTATTCTTGGGAGTGTATGTGAATTGATGCTTATAAAGCTAATGCATGTTGATGAATTTAGTTTATGTTCATAAACTTAATGTATGTGAATTGGTTGTTTATGAATTGAATATTGTCTAGATTTTTTTGGTTAAAGCAATTATCATAATTAATACTATTATATGTGTATGTGTTGTTTTGAGAAAAAATAAAAATGAGTTTATTATGACAAAGATGTGTACATTAGTTAGTATCTATCTATTGAGATATATATATATATGTGGCCAGGTAGACAACAAAAGAAAGACCACACCAATATTTGTACTCTCAAGCTAATATATGCATTCCTACGTACATATATATACAAAAAGAAAATGCACTATGCACAAAAGAACAAAGCATTTGAGGGGTTATTTGTACAGTTATTTTCTTTTCTTACTTAATGAGTTGGTCACAATCCACACTTACAAACAAAAACAAGCCATAGAATAAGGTGTTAGAATAATACATTTCTATGTTCACAGCTTTTAAATATTTGGTAGCTATTAAATAGAAATGTAATATTTCGATTGCAACCCTAAAAGACACCAACCACGGATTTACACTAATAGTATTGAACATGAACGCCATAAATTGAAAGGCTACAGAATTTGCAACAAGCAAACAACCAATTTCCCTCAACTTCTACTACTACACACACAAAATCAAATCCAAACTAAAAACTAAGATATCAGCAAAACTACTATTACAAGCCAATGTCTTAACCACATAATATAATATTAAAAAAATTTG